ACACTAGTCTGAATGCATCCCGTCCTGTGTGACGTTAGTCTGAATGCATCCCGTCCTGTGTGACGTTAGTCTGAATGCATCCCGTTCCGATGGACGCTAGTCTGGATGCACCCCGTCCCGTGGGACACTATATGTACGGGCTTTTCTGCAACAGGAAGGCCTGTGGCAGAGCGAAGGGCTATAGTTCTAGAGCTGTACGGGCTTGTGCGGGGGGGGGGAGCAGCCCGCTACGGAGTTGAACGCCTGGTGCTGATGGCCGGCTAAACCGCGTCTCGTAGCATTACATACATCGTAGCATTACATAGCTGCAGGAGAATCTCTGCAGCGCTATCGCATTACGGCACGCCGGTGTTCGCGCCTCGGCATCGACGTGTAGTGCGTAAGGCGAGATTTACAACGCCTCCGAACGGCGCGGGCAAAAAAATAACGGCGGAACGGAAAAAAGCGAACCAATTAAAATCGCCGCTAACCCCCTAGATGGACCTCTCACGCAAGCAGCCGGAGTTAATTTAGCGAAATAACAGAGAAAAAACTCTGCGCGTTGTGGTGATGAATATCCCGCGAAGGGGGGAGGGGGGGTGATGCCGCAGTGTTGGCAAGCTCGCTTGAGAAAGCTGCAGCGTACGTGTCGCGTGCTTGGGCTTCAGTTATGCCCGTAATTGCACGGATCACGCTGCAATTAATGTACGGCGGTGCAAAAAAAACATCGCCCGCTAAGCCCCGCATCTCTAAGCCCTCTCCCCCATCAGCGCAAATGAATGGATGCTAGCAAGAAGCTAGCTGCCTTCGCTTTCTAGATGGCCCTGCAGAGCGTAGTATTGTAGTTGGCGCGCGCGGCGGCGGCGACAGCAGCGACAACGAACAGAGACAGCACACTACAACAGTAGCAAGGCGTGTAACCACGTCAAGACACCATCATTAAGGATTCGACTCGGTTAGGTGTTCTAGCAATACAGTACGAATTTAATTGCTTCACTATAGGCTTCATACTACAGTGCATTAATTCTATATTACTTTAGTCTAGTAGTGATATAAGTGAATGGTCTGAAACTAGGCATGAAGATGCATGCCTAGAGCTTTTGTGAGGCGCCGAATGTGTATAAACTACGGTCCACGGAGCACCTGCTACGCTTAATGGGGATACTCTCTCATAGTTCAATAATGACACTGACAGTTATGACATAAATACACGGGACCTTTTAACAGCCAACGTAAAAATCCAGTTGGAATTTTCCTCCGCACATAACTGTTAAAGTTCTTGGGAGACCACCAGAGAACGAACCACTCCTTTGCACTCTCCCTCCCCCCTGTTCTCTCATGCTCTCTGTCTCTCTCTCTCACCTATTTTTTCACACTTTTTACGATCAACAGCAACGCCGGCTACCGGGCATCTGCTCCCGATAAGTTTATTCAAAATAACTGCTGTTGCGTGTGATTGCACTCTCTATGCTGGCTCTCTCTCAGACGCTCATAAATTACCCGCGCAGCAGAAATGAAAGTAGACGCTCTGCTTTCTGTATCATGACGGTTTACTCTACGAGTGCCGTCAGACAAGAATAACCAGTCGCCGAACCAACGTTGTGTTTAGGCAAGCTTCTCTCCTAATGAAATAATGGCTTCCGCATGATTCGCAACGCTGGTGTAGGTCTGTAGGTGCATGGTCAGCCGTGTAACCAGCACGGCATCATCGCCACGCTACACACCGTCATGTCAGAACATGCTCGCACACGATACGGTCACCACGACAACGTTGAGGATCTAGGAATGGCCGACGGTGGAGCCAAAGAGTCTAGCAGTGAGGAGTACTGTGGAGGCAGTGTAAGCTCCAACAGCTGGGTCCAGCGCAGAACTCTGGGCAGTGGAATGTCTGGTGCTTCAGATGGCGTGTGTTCTCCCACGAGCAGTAAACTAGGAAAACAATAACTACAATGTTCGTGGCTAACTGGTTAATGTTCTTTTCCCATCGGCTACCTACTGGGATTGATTCCAGGATGGCGGATTTCCGATTAACAGCCCAGGTACTGGATCCATCATTGATTGGGTACCTTGCGTCGGCTGCCACTCACCTGAGAACAGCTGTGTTATCTTGTCAACTGCCTCCCTGACGACATCCTTCAGACTAGCCTGCTCTTCCCTGCTCAGCTCTTCCTCGATGTTCACAAAGTAGGGGGTGATGCGTATTGGCCGGAATGGCGAGACTGCGGCATTCCGCTTCCAGCGCCGATCATCGAGCCTGGCAAAAAAATGTTCACATTAGCAAGTGCACGAAAAGAAACGCATAAGGACACAGAGGATTACCAATTAAATATACATCACAGTTTTATGGCCTCATCGATTGCTATATTCCATACAGAATGCAAAACCTGATCCTACATCAAACTAGTCCTGTCCAGGTTCACACTAACTCGGGGCGTGCAGACACAAAATGCGAAATCGGAAGAGATTCGGGCGACGAAGCAGTTACACTTCTAAAGCGTGCTAAATTGTCCCGCACTGAATTGTACATGCTGTGTGATGTATTGCTCTAATCTGAACGTGCACATGCAGTGTAAGTCTTGTTCCGATTTAGTCTGGGCCTGGCCTCTAGGGGCAAACTTGCAGTCTGTGCGGGGAATTACGTCTTTCATGTGATTCAACATTTGACAATACATGACTGAAAGTTGAAACACCTATATACTGCATTGATGCCAAGTGCTTTGTTTGAACCCACGCGCTTTAATTGGCACACCTTCCTATACACTATTTTTCCACACTTACAATACTTTGTTGTTACCCCGTACCCAACGACTTGATCGTATAAGGAGTGAATAATAATAGATTAGTATTTTAGGTGAATCTATTATTATTCAGTGACTCCTGATCGTATAATACTTATCCTTACATACTAATCCACCTTGCTGTTGTCCACCCACACACCTGCCACCCATAATGTACCACCACCGTATTTTCACCCCTGTTCTGCTGTCACTCCACCTTGTTATCACCCCTTCCATACTATGATATCGCCATCAAAGAATTTAATTCTACTTTCGTATGACTTTCACCTGACAAACACCTTTTTCTCACTCCGGTCTTGCTGTTGCCGTTCCTTTCTGTCACGCTATGACTAAATTGTTTTCAACCCAAACTGACACCGACGCTATCGTTTCACCATAACCTACCTGCACCACTATCATACTGTCACCCCACTTTCCTTGACCCTAGCTTTGTGTCCATACACTTCTTATACCTCTGTTCTGCTGCAGCAACCCCCAATCCACACCCCCTTCTTGTCACCCATATCCTGCTGTCGCCCTCACGTTCCTGTCAACTGCTGTAACCAGGGGGTAAATAATGACATGATTTCGTCATTATTCACGGCTGCTGTAACGGCATACGTTGCCGCGCCGTTACGCTTATCTTGCTTTAATGACCCTGAAGATAGCAGTTAACGACCCTCACCGACCTTGTATGTGCTGACGTCGGCTCTGGCGGGTTTCTTTGCCGCGACGGCTTAATTCGCCGGCAGCGCGTAATCCGGCGCACGTGCCCCCGCCGCAGCCCCGCCACATGGCGCATGCCGTAGCGATTCACCGCGCGCATCCCAGTAAGGCTAATAATGACGCCGGCTAATTGCAGAGTAACCACTGGCCGGATCCACTTATGCTGTTTATTAGTCGCGCCACTCGCGGCTGCTGCCGAGTCTGCCGGCTTCAGTCGGTGTCCGGTTACGTTGACCACGCCGGCAGCACGGCCCGCCCGCAACACATCGACCGCCAGACAAATCCACACGGATTAAGGAGCGACATGAATGGGGGAAGACCGACGGAAAGATCACTTGACGCGAACCAGGGGGCAGATGATGGCCTTTTCACGCGCGAAAGGGGCGCGTGAAAAATAAATATAAGTTCGGGTTTAGGCGCCCAGCAGCCCCCCCTCTCGTGCACAGATAGACACTTCCTTCACTTTCTTTCATTATTGGACACATGTGGTCCCAGGGGGACATACTCGACTCTAGCTGCTCGATTCACTAATAATGCGCACTACTCCCGCCTAGCTATAGTTAAGCGTACCACAGCTATTACCAGGGGTTAAATTAATAGTGACATTTGGAATAATGAATAATGACATTGATTTGTCATTATTAACCCCTGATATTACCTAGCTCCCAGCTAGGCATCGCGTACATGCACTCCCCGTTACTCGCGTACAATCTAATAAACCAACTTTACTCATGCATATATACTACAGAAACACACTCGCGAAAAGTGGAGCCCGAAATAATCGTCAGCCACCCCCACAGCTTTCCACAGGGACTCGTAGAAGCACAACGAGCAAAAATCGCAGAGTGCCTGGTGCGTGGATGATATCAGGAGTGTATAATATATATCCCTATTATACACTCCTGATGATATCTAACTCAAAAACGAAGTGCTTGTTTGAAAACGATTCTTATCAGTACTATAATGCCGTGAAGTTTTCTTCTACTCTTGCCACTGTAGCGCTTCCATCTTACGAGAGTACGGGATTCGCCTAATTTACAACCATGGTCACCCAGGTTACCACGCAACACAACTGATAACAGGCTAGACTGACTACAACAGACGCTGTCGCCGAGCACAAACAAGGGCTTCTCGAAAATAGCACGGCAACGACTCGGACGGAGTCAGTCTACAATAGCATGTATAGCAAAGCGGATGGCACGAGGATAGTGTAGAGTTGAGAAATTTTACAACGTATCTGTCATATCATGATCAGTTTTTGTCTATCAAAATTAGCATCGATGGATTTTTGCCTATTAGAATCACATTAGATTGCATCGCATTACGCGCACGTGCATGTACGGCCTGCAACAACATATAGCGTGTAGAGCCAATTCGATGCTATTAAGTTTAAAACAAATTAATAATTGCTCATTTTTTCATACAGTGAGTCACTACATCAGTTCCACATGTTGATATTGTTTACGCGACAGTAAAGATACATTTATAATGATGTTATTACAAATATAAGCATACTACACACAAGGAAACATGTATGAAGTGTAACAGACTGGTTGCTGAACGAATTGAAAATTCCATTTCCAAATTGCATCGTGTCTAATAAATTCACTTTATAGCAGCTTCAAGATAACATCAAGAGCTTATAATATCTAGGTATATTATATACTACATAAAGTATAATAATGTTAAGGCAATATTAGCTGTTGATAATATGCAAAACATATTTTATATACAGCTGTAATTTCCCTATTATTAAAAGGTTATTTCCTACTTCTTCAACGACGCACGCACGCACGCACGCACGCACGCACGCACGTACATGCATACATACATACGCATGTACGTATATAGTCACCTACAAATGTATGCAAGATCACTAGATACAACCCAACAAGAGTACCTTACCCTACTCTTGTTGGGTTACATTATAATCAAGAGCGTATTAAGAATGGGTTACATTATAATCAAGAGCGTATTAAGAATGGGTTACATTATATCAAGAGCGTATTAAGAATTCTTAATACGCTCTTGATTATATTGTATCTAACAAGATCACTTGCGTGCACAAGTGCGCAGAAAACTACAAGATAAACGCACGCGCGGTCTGCATGGCACTGCACTTGTTACAAACACGCGGATATCAAATACACGCCCTATAAGATGCTGCTTACCGCTGCTGGTAATCCACAACTGTCGTGGGAGTATGCTGCGGCTTTATCGCATCAAAAACGCACGAAGCTGCGCCATCTCTCGCCGACCTTATCCCACCGGTCTCACTGACCACAGCCTCGCGCGGCCAATCAGAGTGTCCGGTAGACTCATCCACAGCCCCCGTTGGCCAGTAGGTGGCACTGACTAGCAGCAGAATGAGTAGAACAAGGTCGCCATGGTGCATTCTGCCCCCATCAGCGCAACATTGGAGATGGTTTCCTCAATGTCTTCAGTCTGGCCGAAACAAAAACAAAACAGCACGCATCAAATAACAGCAGCCGAAACCAGTTCTTGATTGTTGTGAGCTGGCAGATACACCATGCAGACTGCTCTCTGGAAGGTTCCACTCAATATCTGTTTACCAGGGGCGGATGGATTTCATGCACACGGGTAATGCCTGCCAGGTATGCAGCTTGCTTATTATCATACCAGCAGGTATGTTTAAAAGGCCGTCTCAATGCATAGTCATTACCTTGTCATTAAATAGGACTAGCAGACGTCCGGTTTCCCCACAATTATTCTTTTGAAAAGTAACTGGTCGACTAAATGGGGTCAGTTGCAATAATCTTTCTACAATTTTATAATCACAAACTGTTCTCATTTATATCATCAATCTATGTGATCATGTAAACTTTTGCATGCTGTGCACAAAGAAATACACTTGATTATTAGCACATATCGATTCAACTGCTTCTACTTCTACATCTACTTCCATCAAGCTCTGACCGTCTTCGTCATATTGAAGATTCTGTCAATTTATGGGAGAGGGGGTGCAAACAAACTGCTGCTGAGGTTTCCAAACTCAGAGTCCACATCACAGACCACATGTACACGTAACAAGGCACACGAGCCGTTCGTTCTGCTGCATATAGATGCGGAATTAGATCGGACGACGCGAGCTGTCATCGCCAACCGACAGCCGATACTCATCAAAGCATCCGATGTTCGCTTGTTTCGAATCTCCTCGCAGCACTGCTTTCACGGCTGACTCAATTTGATTACCCCCCCCCACCAAGATTGTAACATGGATTCATATAGAATGGATGACGACCTTAATTACGTCAAGGTCGGCCAGTATTTAATACTATTTATGGTCATCATTGATTTCATACCCGACAGAGTGAAAAACGACTACTGTAGTGACGAATCGCGATCGCGTCAGAAATCTGACCTTGATTTAGCTCTCGCACTGTCGACTCCAAGGTTAGATGAAGATCGGAGCGATGAAAGCTGTAGAGATAGCGCCAATCTGGACGGATTTTAACACACTGTGAATAATACAGTCGTGGCCGCGCAGACGTCGTACTCTCCCGTGCATATAATAAACTGTCCCTATCTTTACAACGTCTATGTGTAATACCGAAGCCTTCGCTCCACTACGTAGTTCAGCGAATGCTATAGTAATAAGAGCTACGATTGCCTAGAAATGAACCACGAACGACGATGATAAACGAGCATCAGTACAAAACTGCACATTGTATTTATGCGTGTGATACACACAACGCGTTGGTAAACAAATGTATTATTATGTATCCCTGCTATATTTACCTAACTAGCTTACATGTACGCGTCTGTGCGAACAACACCAGTCGCAGTGGCGCCTCAACTGATTCCTGCCACAGATAATCGAAGTTGGCTTCATTCGCTGTTTACGCGATAGCATCTAGTCTCGGCATGCATACATAAACCGGCGGCGAACACCGCGAGCTGACGCTCTTCCGGATCGCTCGCGGGAATAAATACGCGCGCGTTACACGGGCGGCTAGCATCGCAGGCAGCTGCGGTCAGCTTCCGCGCGACCGACGAATGATTGATCTTCTTGGTCATCTTCCCGCGCAGTAAACCTCCGCGTTGACCACGTGCAGCAGATAAACACGGACGTAATGATGTGTAATCGAGGTATAAACAAGGAAACGACCAGCACCGCTGCCACCGAGCGCGGTTGCGGATGGGCGCTGCTCGTAGCCACATATCAAACACACGCAAGCACACAGGCACTTGTACCGTTTCAATAATAAAATGATGGTTAATAAATACAACTTGTCAGTACTACTACTAGCCCTACTACTACTACTACTATAGAGAGGGACTACTACTACTAGTACTACTACTACTACTATAGAGAGGGACTCTCTATCACTGTGTATTTGTGCATGCACAAGGGCGTTCGCGATATGTGTTGCAGCGGTGTATTGGACGGTGTTGAAGTGAAGTTATTAAGTCAAATCAAACATTAAGACTATTACTGGTACTGGTACTGGTAGGGCTAGTAGTAGTACTGACAAGTTGTATTTATTAACCATCATTTTTATTTTTATTATTGAAACGGTCCAAGTGCCTGTGCGCAAGCATGCCTACAGATCAAACCGCGGGGCTTCGGTTTTTGCTGGTTACCAACATATTCCACACCGCGAAGGAATATCACGTGGTCTGGCTGCTTGGCTTCAACCCAAATCCTAAACCTAACGCAGACGGTAAGCCTAATCCTACCGCTAACTGTAACTCTAACAATAACCATTTCTATAACCCTAACCCTATACTACCCGTATGCCGTCAAACATGACATGCGAATGACTTGCTATTATACAATATCTTTTCGCGATACGGAATTCCTTCATAAGCGATGAAGTGACCTGGTTAAAGTGAAGCCAAGCGCGATAGCAAACCTCCCGTACTTGCACTGCCGCAGCGGACAGCGCGACACGCTTACATAACTTCAAGATAACTTGTATAACATAATATA